CCCTCAGATTCCAGATTTTCAAATAGTTGTATCTCAGCCAAATATTATCCTATCATAACAAACCATACATCAATGGAAAGCTTATTTATTCAGCTTTCAGATGGTGTATAAATCTCAATTTCGAAAAATTGACCCTTATGACTGGTTTTGTGGTCCAGGGTCACATATTATATATTTTGGGATGAAATATGACCATGACATATTTTTGAGCATTTCACCCTAATAATACAACACAATTGTCTCTCCCTGAAGACCCGAGGTAGCACCACTATAGGAGTAACCTCTGTTGCACTTTCCCCGTGGGACCTGGACACATTCTTGGTGGGCTCAGAAGGAGGCCTTGTGCTCAAATGCTCCTTCAGCAGTGAGACAGTGGCAGCAGTGCCCCCTGATGGTGAGAGCGTGACACTGCGGGCTCCAGTGCAATTCTCTTTCTCACCACTAGGGGGCCCTGTGCACTCAGTCCACTTCTCACCGTTCCATAGGTGAGCTTTGTGGTATATTTTGTACTGTTATTTACTTAGTATAATGTCTACTTTAAGGCTAATTGGCAGTAATTGTAACACCTCCTGGTGTTTCTGAATTTAGGAATCTGTTTGTAAGTGTCGGGACAGATGGTTTGGCTCATGTGTACACTGTGCTCCAGCCCCGTCCCCTGCTGTCTCTACGGGTGTCCGATTCATATGTGTTTGGGGTGAGGTGGTCACCTACACGCCCTCTAGTCTTTGCTGCAGCCACAGGACAAGGTGAGATGTTTGTAATTCTCCAAAAGGGCAGTATATATATAGAGCAGATCTATATTGGATATTTTTCATTTATATATTGAAAAATATATTAATATATATTAATGGTGTTTATTAATATTAAAGGCACAATATGTAATTTTCGCCGCTAGAGGGTGCGTATTCAAAACAAACAAAGGCGTAGTTAGATGATGCTGTGACTGAGTGTGGAATCATGGGAGTTGTCGTCTTCATCCCCACAGCCGAAGCAATCTGATGGGACTCGGGCAGAAATCATGTTCATGGATGAGCTAATGTATTAAAGATTTATTAACATCGTAGTATGAAGCAGAGTGAGGCTGAAAGCCGTCGAAGCGAAACGAAATGCTGAAGCAATTGCTAATGAGAGACGAGCGCGACACACGGCTCGAAAGCAGCGGAGCTTTTATTATGCCACAGTCGACCGCTTTCGCTCCTTCCGGTCGTGCGTATGTGGGGGAAAAAAGCAGCGCTCTAGTTATCATACTAGATACGTTTGAAAGTTATGTTATAATGCTACTCTGTGCGGTCGTCACCGGTCTAATAAAACGCATAACATATTAAAGCGTCTTTGGTGTGTCCATGTTTTCTTTAAAACGGAAATCGAGGGGCTATGACGTCATTGGCAGGCGACACAATGACACTATGGACACGCTCCTGTCACTAGTTAAAATAGCTTATTTCTCTGGATTTAAACATTCTTCTAAACATTTGGGATAATGTAAGTACACAAGTCAGCAAAATATATAACACTGTTCGAGTGATTTTTGGATATTTTAATAAAAAAATCGTGCATATTGTGCCTTTAATATATTGTTAAATATTATATTACATTATACTTTTTATATTAAAAAACAAAATAAAAAGAATGGCACTCTAAAAATATTTACTGCACTCTAATAAAACGTTTTAATATAGATTAAAAATGTATATATAATATAATATATATATATATTTAGTAAAATGAAAGCATGGTCTCAAGATATATTGTATAATAATGATACATTTGAATTTTAAATGTAAACTCTTCTCTGGCAGGTTTGGTCCAGATGTTTGATTTGGGTCAGAGGTCTTTAAGGCCAGCTACCACAATTGACCAGAACACAAGTGGTCAGCCAACATATTGTCTGGAGTTCAACCCCAAATACACAAATCTGATGGCAGTGGGCAATGCAGATGGTAGCGTCAGCATCTGGCAGCTCAGTGCCGAGTTAACGGAACAAGGTGCCAAGGAAACGGCAATGCTAGAACAGCTGGCCAATGAGGTGGCGGACTGAGTCTGTTTGAAACTTTCTTAAAACACATTTATATATGCATTGCATATCTTAACTGTACATTTACACTGTAAAATAAAAACACTTGACAATTCCTTCCAGTTATAACCAGTAGCGTTTATTTAAGCACACAGCAGTCTCGTGGGTGATGTTACAGCATGTCCTCTCTATAGTTTTGTTAAACAAAGCAAAGCACTTAACAGCTAAAACAACCACAATAAAATGCAGACAGATCCACTACACTATTGTCAGTGAAGCATGAGGAAGTGTCAGATAAATATGCAGAGTTAAGAGTGATAGCAAGATACAAATATTGCTATACTGGGTGCTATAGAGAATTTCAATTCAGATCCATGCAGTTTGGCTGTGTGTTCTTGTGAAGGGGGGAAAACGCATCCCGATTGGTCACTGGCAGGCAAGAGGCGGGGAATCAATTGACGAAGAGCGAGCGCGTGAATTCCACAAAGTCGAAAGCTGACGGGATCTCGCGGCCCTTGCTGTCCAGGTAGGGCTTCATATGGGAAATGCAGTAGTCTGCCTGTTCCTTCGTCAGGTTCTGTAAACACAGAAGGTCGTTAAGATCATCTTTCTAACACCAAACTGAGGCCAAAAGTTTGAAACTGATCTAATACTAATTGTAAATGGCATGGGTTTGATATTTTGTACCTGGTAGAGTTCTTCCTTGGTGACGTAAGGTTTGTTCTCGGCGCTGAGAGCACGGAAAGCGCTTTCGATCTCTTCGCTTGACTTCACATTCTCTGTTTCTCGGCTGATCATGAAGGCCATGTACTCCTGCAAAGACACGTTTCCATCCCTGAAAGAAACAAATTGATGTTAGCTCCATGACAGAAAGAACACAGAATATTTAGCTCATCCACAGATGATGCTTCTCACCTGTTTGGATCCACTATGTCCAGGATGGACTCAAACTCTGGGTCTGGTTCTCCTTCTTCAACCATGGGCAGGTCGTAGCCCAGAGACCGCAGGCAGGACTTGAACTCCTGGTGATTGAGACGGCCCGATTTTTCTTTGTCGAAGTGCCTGAGAAACAAACATTTATGTTACGTTTTCAAGAACACTTAAGTTTAGCATTGTAATGTTTTGTTTTTTATTAAAGTTGATTACTCACTTGAACATCATGCTGAATTCCTTCAGGGCCTCTTCTGTTACTCCTGTAGTGTTTCTAGAAGAGAATTACAAGAAAAAGAATAAGTAAAATTAAATGTTAAAAAATTTATAAATAATAACAACAATGTATTAAAAAAACTAAATGGTATTCTAATAAAAATCAATAATAATTATAATAGTCAAAAAATGTTCTTAATATATATAATATGATGGAAAAATGTTGTGGACTGGTTTGAGAAGTGGCACCTGGCTTGGATCTGTTGTTCCAGGTTGTGTTGCATTCTCATGCCCAGTTGGTCGAGTTGGTCCCACTGTTGGGCCAGACCCACGGTGCTGTGTTCTGTGTATTTGTTATCTAGGATCAGCGCCTCCTCCATGGCTGCTCCCAGATCCTCGATCTTCTTCAGCTGACTGCGCATGGCACGAATCTCCTGGTGCTTGCGCTGCACAGAAAACCCGAGGGATAAGACATGAGACCAGAGCATCTTATAGTTCAGTGCATCTATTACTGTCTAGGGTTTAAAGCTTATGCAAGTGTATTAATGTGTTCTTTCCTACAGACTTCTAAAGTGAAATGTTAGTATACTTTCTAGCAAATTAATTCCCATGATCTTTCCATGACTTTCTAGTCGTTTATAATGGATGGACATTAGAAAACCACTTTATATAAATAGGACACACAAAGCAACGTTTAACTAAAGAAAAACTTGAGTAACTCGGCAAGACTACAAAAAATTGTACTCACTACACTGACAAAAAGAAACGTCTTTAGAGATCAACATAACTTTATTTTATAAAATGTATATTTTTAGGATTTTATCAATTTGCATGACTAGGTATTTACAATTTTGCATATGAAACACCATTTTTGGGGATTTTTCTTAAAATAATTTTTGATCAGAAACAGTGTATTCACTATTTTATATGATACAGACTACCGTTCAAACGGATTGGTGTCAGTAAGATTTTTTATTTAAAGAAACACTTTTATACACCAAGTACACATTAAAGGGTTAGTTCACCCAAAAATGAAAATTCTGTCATTAATTACTCACCCTCGTGTTGTTCCAAACCCCTAAGACCTTCGTTCATCTTCGGAACACAATTTAAGATATTTTTGATGAAATCTGAGGGCTCTCTGACCCTCCCATAGACAGCAAGGTAAGTACCACGTTCAAAGTCCAGAAAAGTATCAGGATGATCGACAAAGTAGTCCGTGTGACATCAGTGGTTCAACTGTAAAGTTACGAAGCTACGAGAATACTTCTTTGCGCAAAGAAAACAGAAATAACGACTTTATTCCACATTTTCGTCTCTACTGCGTCACTTTGGACACACGTTCACGACAGTATCATGACGCGAGCGTGTGGCAGCGCTATATAAAGTCGTTATTTTTGTTTTCTTTGCGTTACCTTGCTGTCTATGGGAGGGTCAGAGAGCCCTCATATTTCATCAAAAATATCTTAAATTGTGTTCCGAAGATGAACGTAGGTCTTACGGGTTTCGAACAACACGAGGGTGAGTAATTAATGACAGAATTTTCATTTTTGGGTGAACCCTTTAAATTGATCAAAAGGCATTTATAATGTTACAAAAGACTTCTGTTTCAAATAAATACTGTTCCTTTAAATATTCAATTAATTAAAAAAAGAAGAAAAGAAGTGTGTGTTACGCTTTCCACAAAATATTTAGCAGTTTAAATATTAAATTGTTTTCAACACTGATAATAATCAGAAAAAGCTGAAAATTCAGCATTGCCATATAAAATATATTAAAATAGAAAAGATGCTTTAAACAGCAGTGTGCTGCCGATTTGATTTAATACACTAATTCCGATTCATTTTGTTATCCAAAATCGATCAGCTTCATTAAACGGGTCTCAATTATCCATTCACTGCTCTCAAACTCACCTTAGTGGCTTCTAGCTGTGACTCTAGAGTTCCGGATTCTTCCACCATGCAGGACCTGCCCCACACACAGAATGATGAAACCAGCAGCAGGAGCCCACGAGCACATGGCACATCCACCCAAAATCATCTCACTCACTCCACGTGCCGGTCTACACCTTACAAGAGCGGCTTCTTACTAGACTAGCTCAGTTATTAGGTCATTATCAGGAACAAAACCAGTTGTATTTTCCAGGGAGTTAAAAAGGTCTGTTTTATATGACTCCGAGTTGTTTAAATGGTTTTGCGTCTAGTTCTGTAACCTACATCTTCCTGAATTTCTTGTACATGATAATAGAACTTACCAATTGTTTTGTAGTAGATATGGAGAACTATGAAGCCACCCCAGAATGCAACTACAGTAACGAAAGTCATGCTAACGAAGCTAAATTACATCCATGGTAATCCAGACCATGCTTGATTAGGGCTGCTGTCAACAGGGTTAGAAACTGCTATATTTATACCACTGCTTAGTTTTAGTTTAGGGTGTAGGTCTTGCACACTTTTAAAAGCAAAATGTGCAAAATCAAAGATTCAGAGTTCGACTGAACTAGCCATATTATAAATGTCTAAAAATGTCAATGCACAGCTGTTCAAATTCAGATCAGGACATTGAAAATGTCTAAAAGTACTTTTCAATCATGGAAATCACATTGCAGTTTCCACCCTGGATCTGGTGCATGAACATTTTCTTCCAAATAAATAAAGAAAAAAACCCCCCAACAAATAACTGAAACAACGAAAAGGTTAAAGAATGAGATGAAGTGTTCACACTCCTCAACATCGGTGCCAAATATAGCCAGGCTTATTAGATTAAGAAGCTGGAAGGGTTCATCTCAAAAAAAGCCTCACATCGCAGTGAATGTTAGTAAAAGGGAGTGAACACACACACAGAGCCTTTACAGTGGGGATCAGACTCGAGTGCATGAGGAGAAGAAAACCCAAAAGGTGTGGGTGAGGGGTAAGAGGCCAATCAGAGGAGGAAAAAAAGGGAGAAGACCTTCCAGAAAGATCATCATCGACTTCATACTGATAGACACGGATTACCCTCCGATAGGCTATGCTATTCAGAGACGAGGGAGGTGGGAGATGAAGAAGGAATGGAAAAAGAGTGTGAAAAAAACAAAGGAATACATCTAGAAATATATAGTCAAAACATACGATAAAATACGCAAAATATATGTAAAGTGAGATAAAGTCCTTCTTGATGATCTTAAGACACCCTATATTATTTCTATCCAAATTATTGCTCTACTCGAACCTGAAACTCCCAAATTCCTGGTTTATTTTATACCAAATGTGTGTTTCTATCAGTCATTAAATGCTGTTAAACAATACATACACACTCACACACAAACATACTATAGTAAAATAGTATAAAATGTGATATTAACCCATCCAGAAGGTATGTCCTGATTAGAGAAACGATTCCAAGCATCATGGTAGCAGTGAGAAGGCCGAAGGAATGGGGAAAGAGAGACAAATAGCGGAGGGAGAGAGAAAGAAACAGTTAAAACACTGAGTGGTGACATCACCACTACTCAACAATCACACGAATGCTACTGTGACCAGCACAAAGCCCTGCTGTAGCATATCAAGCCCAGATGGGTTTAAGTTGTGATCAATGTGAAAACCTTCACCGAAACAGACAACATGGCAAAGCAGGCAATGACTTAAAGACTGGTGGTGACATCACCACTACTCAACAATCACACGAATGCTACTGTGACCAGCACAAAGCCCTGCTGTAGCATATCAAGCCCAGATGGGTTTAAGTTGTGTGATCAATGTGAAAACCTTCACCGAAACAGACAACATGGCAAAGCAGGCAATGACTTAAAGACTGCGTCTAAGAAAGTTACATGGAGATCAGGAAAGCTTGATCAAATCCAAACAGATGTGTGTGATTTCATGCAATGGAAATTGCAATTTCATGCAATGGCAATACAATGTGTTGCATGCAGTGTGTGTTTGGCCCTTGAGCATAACTCTACTATAATGATACGAAGAGAACTCAGCACTCTAAGTAGTGCATGCTGGTCCCCTGTACCTGGTCTCCTGCAGCCATTGGTGGAAGGCATTGGCATGTTGGGCAAACTCTTGTCTGAGTTTATCGTTCTCTTCCTGTCTCCTCTGCTCCTTCTGTAGCTCCA